GAAGCAACAGTTTAGAAAGCACAAATATACCACCTTCTATTTTACAAATGTAGGAACCGAGAAACTGGGGTTAAGTGGCTCATCCCAAATCAAGTTATGATAACATGCATGGTTTAAAAACATTCTTTTGTTTCCAAGTTATGTCCTTTCTTAAATTTTTGTTAAAAATTCTGTGGCTAGGTTGATCAAATTAACACCCAACTTTGACAAGAAAGTTTAAGATCAGTGTAACTGAATATAATTTTAGGTTCTCTGTTTCCAAATTCTTTATTAATTCTCAGGAGTTCTTGTCTGTCTTTTACATCTCATGACTAACATTATATTTATACCACATGTGGTTTCCTCTCATCATTCTACCTTCTGCATGAATAATCTGAAACAACTTCCACTTAAATAAAAAACACTGTAGCCTTATGTCAAATATGGGCAATGTTAGTGGGAGAAGGCATTCCACAGAAGCCCAGTAATAATAGCCCACCTCTGGACAATTATTTTAAAAGTGTCTTCAGTAGGTTTTTCTCTCTTTCACTCAGTGATATTTTATAATGTTTTCAGTGAAGATTTACTTAGCAGTTTAGGTTCACCGTCAACACTTTCTACACAAATTGTTTAGTGACATTAATTATATTCTTCACAATGTGTTAACACTCTTATATTTCAGTTCTAGTTGTTCCATTTTCATTAATTTAGTTTCCCGGTCCCATCTTCATTTTAATGTAATTACTGACTATGTAGCATCATAGAGATGATTTTTTCAAGGACTACAGTACTCATGGTTGATATTCTTTATTTTGTGAGCCAATCTGCTATTTAGCTAAAAGATAACCTCAGAGATCTAGTTTTAATTCAAGGTTTAATGACTATCAGAGCAATTGTCTCGGAAAGGAGTCCTGGGGTGAAGCTGTAGGATAAGCACTTGACCACAAGGTTGGTTTGAACCCTAAGGTTGTGGTTCAAATTCACCAGTTGCTCTTCAGAAATCTTATACAAGGTTGCTAGAGTCGGAACCGACTCGATGGCAGTTAACAACAACAACAGTCTTAGGGAGTCCTCCAGATTGCAGTGGTCCAGTAAGTTTTGTTTTTTTAGGAATTTGATTCTATTCCACATTTTTCTCCCATTCTCTCAGGCTCCACCTGTTGTAGCCCTGGTCAGAAGTGTTGATAGTGGTAGCTGGGTACCATCTAGTTCTGGTCTCAGGGTAGATGAGGCCATAGTTCATGTACAATATTAGTCCTGTAGACTAGCTTTTATTTTGGTCTTTGATTTTCTCTGGACAAGTAGAGAACAATAACTGTACCTTTAGATGGCTATGTGCATGCTTTTAGGACTCTATATACTATTCACAAAACTAAAATGTAAAACATACCTTTTCTCTCCCTACCTTATATTTGTTTTGTTGTTGTTGTTGAGAATATACACAGCAAAACATAATATAAATCAACAGTCTCTATACATGTAAAATTTAGTGTCATTGATTACATTTGTCACTAGTTGTACAACCATCCTCATCTTCCTTTTCAGAGCTGTCCCTCTCTCATTAACATAAACTCATTGCCTTCTGAGGTTGTAATCTTTTGAGTTGCTATTTTTGCTGTTATCCCATATAGATAGTTCTTAAGAGGGTATAATGTGTCTCATATAGTAAATCCTCAAGAGTATAATGCTCAAGGCAGACATTCTTTAGTAGTTAAGCAAAAATACTTTTCAGTTTTAAGATGATGACTTCAGGAGATATTTTTTATTTAAGGTTTAAAGTTTATCTCTGGGCAGTAATGTGAAGGGTTCATCTACGTCCCATGGTTCCAGGAAGTCTAGAGTCCTTGAGAATTTGAAAGACAGTTTTGCATTTCCCTTCTGTTGATCAAGATTCTTCCATGGAATTTTTTAATCAAAATATTCAGTAATGGTAGCTGGGCACCATCCACTTCTTTTGGTTTCAAAGTAACGGAGGCAGTTCATTGAGATAATTGGCTATACACTCCATTTCTCCTCCTCTCCCCCTTTCTCTGTTGCTTTAGGTGACTAGAGACCAACTGTCATGCTTTGGACAGCTACTTGCTTTTAAGACTCCAGACACTATGCAACAAACTAGGAGGTATATTGGAAGCACTACATGTTATTGGTGTGGCACTGTGGGTTAATGCACCAGACTGCAAAGCCATTTGAACTGCAAGGTTGGCAGTTCAAGCTCACCAGCGGTGCCTCGAAAACCCTATACAAGGTAGCTATGGGTCAGAACCAACTCAACAGTGCTTAACAACAAGAAACATGTTATTGTGGTCGTCGTGGTGTGCTGTGGAGTTGGTTCCAGGTCATAGTGACCCTGCTGCATAGGATTTCGAGGCTATAAATCTTTATGGGAGCAGAAAGTCTCAACTTTCTCCTGTGGAACTGCTGGTAGCTTCTAACTGTTAACCTTGAGGCTAGCAGCCTGATTTGTAACCACTACATTCGGGTTGGGAATCGCAAGGTCAGCAGTTTGAAATTACCAGCTGTTCCGTGGGAGAAAGATGAGGCTTTCTGCTCCCGTAAAGATTTATAGCCTGGGAAACCCTGTACAGGGTCACTATGAGTTGGAACCGACTCCACGGCACATAACAACAACAACAACAATGCTAACAGAGCTCCTTAAACATGTTGTTGTTGTCGTCAGGTGCCATCGAGTCAGAACCGACTCATAGTGACCCCATGCACAGCAGAACGAAACAATGTCCGATCCTGGGCCAACCTCACTACCGCTGCCACACTTGAGTCCATCAATGATGCCACCTGGCCAATTTTTCTCTGACCCTCCACCTTACCCAGCATGACATCCTTCTCCAATGATTGTTTCCTCCGGACAATATGTCCAAAGTATGAGAGACAAAGCTTAGCCATCCTGGCCTCCAAGGATGTTAAGACCAATTAATTGAGATGTCCCATGAAACCATGACCCTAAATCTCTAAAACAAGGAACCAAATCCCAAGAGGTGTTTAGTTGTACATAAGCAGCCCTGTTACAGAGGTTTTAGATTCGAGAGTGCCACAGGAGCCCTAGGCCAGAAAGTGTCACAGCAGCTTTTGATCTGTGGTTGAAGAAACCAAGGTCACTCGGAGAGGTGAAGCATAGTTCCATATTTTATTAAGCTGGCTGGCTCAGAGGAGCTAGTTTCTCCAGATTCTGAGCCCTGAATGGGGAGGGCAACATAGGCTTATATGGAGTCAGAGTCGGGGAGGGGTTAGTGTGCTGACCTGTTTTAGGACAGAGGGGAAACAAGGGGGATTGGCCCCGTTAGTGACCTGATTAACATTTTAGCTTGTCTGCTGGGTGAGGAAGATTGGTCCCATTCAGTAACCTGATTAGCATTGGCGGGGAAGAGGCAGTTAATGTTTTTAACTTTTCCTGTTCATAACAACTACTATTTTTTGTCTTTTAATCTATCACAATTTTTGCCAATTCTACTTTTTACAGGTTACAGCTTATTGACAGCAATTACAATAATTAGTTGTACACTCTTCCCTCAATCAATGAGATGTTTCTGTCACTTTAAATTCCCTTTCTCCTTCCCTTCTGCCCCTGTAACCACTAATAAACTTTTGTCTCTATTTAAATATTTGTCTTTTTTTCTTCCTTTTTTTAAATGTAAGTTATACTTTATTTGTCCTTTTGTAATTGGCTTATTTTGCTCAGCATAATATCCTCAAGTTCCATCCATACTGCAGCATATATATCAAGATTTCATTTTTCCCACTTCCACTGTATATATGTACCACACTTTTTTTTTTAATCCAGTCATCTGTTGATGGACATTTAGTTTTTTTAACTTTGGGCTAGTTTAACTAGTGTTGCAATGAACACTGGTGTACAAGTCTCTTTACGAGGATCTGCTTTCTAGCCTTTTGGGCATATACTTAGGAGTGGAATTGCTAGTTCATATGGTAGTTATATTTTCAGCTTTTTCAGGAACCACCACGTTGTTTTCCACAGTGGCTGTTCCATTTTGCATTACCACCAGTAATGGATTAACTTTCCAAAATCGTTATTTCCTGTGTCCTTTTTATCTTAGCTATCCTGTTGTTGTTAGGTACTGTGGAGTCGGTTCTTATTCATAGTGACTCTATATAGTGTTTCTGAGAAGCAGCTGGTGGGTTTGAACCTTTGACCTTGCAATTAGCAGTCCAATGCTTATCCTACAGCATCATACCATCCTCCTGGGAATGAAATGGTATCTGATTGAGGCTTTGATTTGCATCTTTCGGATGGCTAATGATGCTGAGGGTCTTTTCATGTGTCTGGGAGCCATTTCAATGTATAGTTTGGTAAAATGTCTATTAAGTCCCTGCCCATTTTATAATTGGGTTCTTTGACAACTATATATGCTATTAGATTTTTATCAGCTATATGGTTTCTGAAGTTTTGTTACCAGTGGGTAGTGTGTCTTTTCACTTTTCTTGGTAGTCTTTGATGAACAAAGTTTTTAGTTTCTATGAGGTTACATTTATTTATTTAAATTTATTTTTGACTTTTTGTTATCAGCAAAGACTAAAAATAATTTAAACATCTAACAATAGGAATTGGTTAAATAATTTGATAGATTAAGTTATGTGGTGTAAGTAGAAAACATGAAAGATAGGACCAATCGAAGTAACACGATGTATCAGGTGACAAACAGTAGCATAGGCAACTGCAATCATATATTAACTCTGATTTAAAAAAAATGTGGACACACCCATAAAATTAAAAAAACATACAAACAGGAAACCTAAAGTAAAGCAATGCTCTAAGGTTAATTGGTTGTCTCTAAAGTTTAGGATTACAAATAATTTTTATGTTGCTATTTATACATTTTGTTTTCTAAGGTTTCTATACTAAACACACAATTTTGATTATCAGAGAAAAACGATTAAAATAGGATTCCAGTGTCCACTGGGTTCTGTCAGACTTGCAGAATCATCTGTGCACACCCACTTCTAGTCAACGTATGTCAGCCCCATAATATATGTATTCATTCATTCATTCATCCATTCCGAAACAAATGAGATTTATTTGGCTTTGGGACTCTGGGTATGTCTGCCTGTACTATCTGACACACACACGCGACACACACACACACACACACACACACACAGCCCTGGTACCTGGAGGACCTCCGGGTCTGGCGGCTCCGGCTGTAGGTCCGACCTCTTGGACTTGGACTGTGATCCCTTTTTCTTCCTCTGTTTTGGGAACTGCGCCTTTCCCGATTTTTTGACACTTGCTTGTGAGATTTCTTCTCACTGTGAGGACTCCTCCTTTTCCTTCCAGATTGCCCATCTCGTTTGTAGAAATGATCTGAACTAGGGCTTCGTCTTCTCCTTGGCCTCCTATAGTAGTTATCATGGTGGCCTGTCCTGTCTTTCCTGTCTGAGTTCTTTCCAAAGGGTGAACTAGTCCTACCTGAGGGCAGGTACCTGGATCTGTCCGCTTCCCGAAATTCATTGTTGGGGTTTCTGAACACATGAAGAAAGTTGCAGTGTTTTCCTCTTGTACACTGCTGGGTTTCAAATAAGTCACAAACTGCCATTTGCCACCGAGTCACCGGGCAGAATTCGCAGTGCAGCTGTCGTCCTGCATACCACCGTCCATTAAACAGAGAAAGGGCTGCTTGGCATTCTTCTTCCGACTGATACTGAACATACACGTTGCCCCTAAGATGCGGTTCAGAGTTGCAGCTGACCTTGAACTGAACCACTTTGCCCACGCTCTTGAACTCTGGGAGCACATCGTCATAGAGCTCCAGGAACTGCTGGTAGGTTTCTTCTACACTGTACTCCAGGCTTGCGTCAGGGTCATCGTCATCATCCATTCTGCACTGCTCCATTCCAAACGTTGTGAACATGCTTTTTATGAGGAGGGTTGGACTCGATGCTGGCAAATTATGTTTACGTGAACACCTATCTCCAAATCTGCATGCTCCTGTTTTATTGTAGAAAGGGCAATAAACTCGATATTTCTCCCTTATTCTTACATCCAAGGGTGGTCCTGGGTTTTGCAATGTGGGACCATTTTCCAAATCTCTTTCTTGCTTCTCCTGTCGTTTTTGTTCCTCTTCTCTCTCTTTCCTCTGCTGTTTGTCCCATTCTGCCTTTAGTTTTCTCTCTAGTTTTTCCTTCTGTTTTCTAGCTGCCTCTTCCTTTTCTTTCTTTATTCGGAACTCTTCTTGTGCCATCTGCTCTCTCAGCAACCACTCTTCATGTAACTTTTGCCTCTTAGTCTCTAACAGCTTCTCTTCTTCTAGTTGGTTTTCTTCATTAAAACCATCTTCTATCTCCTCCTGTGAAGGTCCTGAGTCTCTCAATTGAGCGAGTGCCTGCCGACGCTTCTTTCGTTTCTCCTTCTTAAGGAGGGCTCTGTATGTTCTGTGACGCCTGTTCTTCTTTAACAGAAGCTGCTCGGGCGCCGCCATTTTGTCAGTGTGTTCAGCGTCTCCAGCTGTTTGCTTGCGTTTTTTTTTTTTAAAGCAGAAAGTCTGAGATAACTTTATTTTTTCACTTCTAAGTCCCAAAGTTAGATAGAACAGAGTTGTCAAAAAGGGATTTATTCACACAAATAAATCCTGTTTTCGAAATTTATGAATGAAAAATTTCAGTTAAATACTCAGCATGTTGTTGAGTGCCGTCGAGTCCGTTCCGACTCATAGCGACTTTGTATAGGGTTTCTGAGTAGCGGTTGGTGGGTTTGAACCACTAACCTTGTGGTTCAAACCGACCTTTTGGTCCAGTGGTTATATTACAAGGCCACATCAGGGCAGTGACCCTCTATGGGTTTCCAAGAGTGGCCCTGGTTTGAACCTTTGACCTGTTAACAGTCCAGCGCTTAACCTACAAGTATCACAGCAGGACTTCTTTGTTTGGGTGGTGATGGTAGTGGTAGTTATGCGCCCCGGAGTAGGACTCATAGCAGCTCTGTCTGTATAGGGTTTCTGAGGCTGCACATCTTACTGGAGCAGAAAGCAAGCCTCATCTTTCTCCTAGGAATGCCTAGTAGATTCAAACCGCTGACCTGGAGGTTAACAGCTCAACTCATAATCCACTCTGCTACAGTTTAGGTAGTATATATATGCTTTGTTGTTGTTAAGTGCCGTCCAGTCGGTTCCGACGCATAGCGACCCTGAACAGGGTTTCCAAGGCTGTAAATCTTTACGGGAGCAGAAAGCCTCATGTTTCTCCCGCAGAACAGCTGGTAGTTTCAAACTGCTGACCTTGTGGTTCACAGCCCGATTCGTAACCACTACGCTACCAGAGCTCATATATATATATGTATAGTATTAAAGGGAAAAAATGTGAAACAGGATCTAAATAACTTTCCAGTGGCATATAAACTATTAGCACATATTCTGAAAGCTGGCAGGTCACATCAGTCCTAAGTTAATTGTTAATAGAAATGAGTACTGAGCGTTGTATTTTTTCTATGCTACTATAGCTTTCTTTCACTTCACTTTAATGTTGATCTTTATTTTATGCCCTTTTTAGTATTCTTAGAAAAATCTTCAGATAGTAATCCTCAAAATGTTTTGCAGGATGACACTGGCTCTTCCTTTTGTTTGTCCACTGCACTGACTCTTTACAAGGTTGACGGTTCAAACTCTCTAGCCGCTCCTACCCTGCACAGGGTTTCTGTGAGTCGGAACCAACTGGACAACAACAACAGCAACTCAGCTTAATTTCATCTGCATCTGCATATGCTTAGGCTGCGACTTAGATTTAATGTCTTTACTTGGATTTTGATTAAAGTACTTGGTCCCATTCTTAATTACTTTCCTTCGATTCTGTGTATCTTCACTCATTTTTCTTGACTTCCGGACTTCACATTGCTTTTAAATCATCAGATCTCCTCTTTCTCTTCAAGTTGCCTAACTTTTATCTGACTTCTGCTCCTGTGCTTATGACTTCCCAATCTTGTTTTTCAATCTTCTTCAGCTCTGACCAGGAGATCTATGTTTTCTTTCTGATCTATTACAGCTTCTACTTTTTCTTTCATCTCTACTGCTTTGCCTTAGTTCTTAACTTCTTGATCTCTTGTGGTCCGGAGACCTGCTGCCTCTTGGGTCAGAAGTTCAGCTTGCGTACCTACTTCGTGAATGATTTCTCTTTCTCTGTCATGAGGTATTTTTCTCTTTCTTCCTCTTCTCTTTGTCTTTTCCTTCCTTTCTTCCCTCTCTCCCATTCTTCTTCTAATTCTTGCTTCTTTTGAAAATGCTAATCACAATTAGGCTCTTCAGTTTTTTGTTTTTTTAAAAAGCTTTTAATTCTATGTTGTTGTTGTTGTTAAGTGCCATCGAGTCGGATCCGACCCATAGCGACCCTGTACAGCGTTTCCGAGGCTGTAAATCTTTACGGGAGCAGAACGTCTCATCTTTCTCCCGCGGAGCGGCTGGTAGTTTCGAACTGCTGGCCTTAAGGTTCGCAGCCCGATTCGTAACCACTACGCTACCAGAGCTCATTTAATTCTATAGTTGTTGTAATTTTTGCATAGCCCATGTGTTGTTTTCCTTTATTTGTTTTGCCTTTTTCTGTCAGTGCTTTTATTATTATGTAATTCATTGTTGAAAGCTAGATCTGACCGCATTGCCTCTGCTTATTCCTTTAAGAATTTTAGGTTTTACTTTGTGTATTTAGGTTAATCCATTTTGAATGTCTTTGTGTATGGTTTGAGGCTTGGATCTTGTTTCATTTTTCTGTATGTACAAATTCAATTTTCCCAATACCATTTACTAAAGAACTTTTTTTAACCCATCAAATAGATTTAGAATCCTTGTCAAAAATGAGCTGATCATAGATATATGGCATAATTTCTGGACTGTCAATTGTATTCTATTAGTCTGTGGGTCTGTTGCTATACCAGTACTAGGCTGTTTTGATTACTGTAGCTGTTTGTTATTGCTGTTATATGCCATCTAGTCAGTTCCAACTTGCAGTGACCCTGGATAGGGTTTTTAAGGAGTGACTAGTGGGTTTGAACCACCAACCTTGTGGTTAACAGTCCAGTGCTTATCCTGCAGTGCCACACAAGGACTCCACTGTAGCTGTATGTTTTTGTTATTATTGTGTGCCCTTGATTTGGTTCTGACTCATAACAACTCTTTATAGGGTTGCCTAGGCTATAAATCTTTGTGGGAACAGAAAGCCTCCTCTTTCTCCAGTGGAGCAGCCAGTGGGCTCTAACCACCAACATTGTAGTTTGCAGTTCAGTGCTTATCCTACGGAGCCAGTATGTATTGAAATCAAGAAGTGTGAGTCCTCCTACTTTGTTCTTCTGTTTCAACAATGTTTTAGCTATCTAAGGACTCTTGTCATTCCAAATAAAGTTGACTATTGGTTTTTCTATTTCTGTAAACAAGGCTGTTGGAATTTTGATTGAGAGACTGTGTTGGATCTATAGCTTACTTTGAGGAATATTGACATCATAACAATATATATCTTCCAATAAATGAACATAGGACATCTTTTCGTTTATTTAGGTCTTCGTTAATATCTCTCAGCAGTGTTTTACAGTTTTCATTGTATAAGTCTTTCACAGGCTTCATTTGATTTATTTCTGGGTATTTTATTATCCTGGAGAGCTGGTGTGATGCTATAGGATAAGCATTAGACTACAAGGTCAGTGTGAACCTCAAGGTCGGTAATTCAAACCCACTAGTCACTCTTCGGAAACCTATGCAGGGCCGCTACGAGTTGCTAGGAACCTCAGAACCGACTTAACGACACTTAACAACAACATTTTGTTATCTTATTGTTGTTGTTGTGAAGTGCCATCAAGTCGATTCTGACCCATAGCATTTAGGGTTTCCAAGGAGCAGCTGGTGACCTTGATCTGTTAAATATGGAATTGTTTCTCTAATATCTCGTTCACATTTTTCATTGCCGAGGTATAGAAACCCTATTGAGTTTTGTTTGTTGACTTTATGCTCTGTAACTTTGCTAAATTCTTCTATTAGGTCTAAAAGTTCTCCTGTAGTAGAACCTTAGTCTCCTTGGAGACTAAGGTCCCAATCCTGTAAACGTGGTAAACCAACCCCAAGAGGTGTTTAGTTATATATAAGAAAAGCAGTAACCTTTTCTCCTATGTGCGATATTAGATGTATGAATAGGTGCAATATATATGGAGTCCTGGTGTCGCACTATAGGATCAGCATTGCACTGCTAAACACAAGGTCGGTGGTTCAAACCCACCAGTTGCTCCTGGTAGTGTAGTGGTTACGCAAAGAGGCTGCGAACCTCAAGGTCAGCATTTCAAAACTACCAGCTGTTCTGCAGGAGGATGAGGCTTTCTGCTCCCATTAAGAGTTACAGCCTTGGAAACCCTGTACAGGGTTACTATGAGTCCGAACCGACACCACAACATATAACTACCACCACCACCACCACCACCAGTATTTAGAGGGGAGTCCTGGTATGGTGCTGTGGGCTAATGCATTTGAACTGCAAGGTCAGTGGTTCAAGCTTACCAGCTGCTCCTTGGAAATCCTATATAGGGTTGCTATGGGTCAGAATTGACTCGACAGCACTTAACAGCAACTATTTAGAAGGAGTTCTGGTGTGGAGCTGTGGACTGCAAGATCAGTCTCAACCACAAAGTCGGCATTCAAACTGACCAGCTGCTCCTCTCAAACCCTATACAGAATCATTATGGGTCAGAACCGCCTCAAAGGCACTTAACAACAGGAACTACTTAAAAGGAGTCCTGGTGTGGCATTGTAGGATAAGCACTGGACCTCAAGGTCACTTTAAACCACAAGAACAGCAGTTCAAACTCACAAATTGCTTCTTGGGAACTCTTTACAGGGTCGCTAGGAGTTGGAACTGACTCCATGGCATTTAACAACAACTGTTTAGAGAATGAGTACTCCTCGTTCCTCCCATCCTTGGTGTGATAGTTAAGGTTTTGTGTCAATGTGGCTGAGCCAGGATTATCAGTAGTTTAGCTTTGAAGAGTAGCGTAGTGGTTATGAATTAGGCTGCTAACCTCAGGGTCAGCAGTTTGAAACTACCAGCTGTTCCGTGGGAGAAAGATGAGGCTTTCTGCTCCCATAAAGATTTACAGCTTCAGAAACCTGTACAGGGTCGCTATGAGTCGGAACCGACTCCACGGCGCATGAAAACAACAACAACAACAATCACCTACATCTCTATCACTACATCTTAAAAGTGACCCTCCAGAGTCCTGGTGTGGCACTATAGGATTATGCACTTGACCACAAGGTCAATATGAACCACAAGGTCAGTGGTTCAAACTCACCAGCAGCTCCTTGGAAACCTGATACAGGGTCGCTATTAGTTGGAACTGACTCGACGTCAGTTAACAACACCATCCTTATAAATACACATTGTGCTTTTGTGTGTGGCACTGTAGGATCAGCACTGGACTGAGAACCAGGAGGCCGGCAGTTCAAACCCACCAGCTGCTCCATGGAAACCTATACAGTGTCGCTACGAAATTGACTGGGCAGCATTTAACAACAACAGGAACAATCACCTCCATGATGTAATTAATTCTATGATGTGGTCTGATGTGATCAGACCTGATCTGATCAATTATTCTACGTGTTGTAAATCGTCACTTCTACGATGTTAATGAGGCCAGATTAGTTTGTATCTTGATTCAATCTCTTTTGAGATTTAAAAGAAATAAAACAAGCAGAGCTCAGAGGAGGACCTATTGCTGCTGGTAGTGGAGTGCATCCTTTGAACCTGGGGTCTCTGTACTGTGAAGCTCCTAGATCCAGGGAAAGATTGATGTCAAGGCACATGGAGATCTTCCAGGAATGCTGGGCCTATAGATGCTGAAAGGAGACATGGGCGTTCCACCAAAGTGTACACATTGAAGTCAGAGTTCTAGCCTCCTAAGCTGTGAGAAAATAAATTTGTTTGCTCACGCCATCCATTTGTAGCATTTCTGTTATAGCAGCACTACGTAATTAAGATACGTAACTACTGGTTGAGTATTAGGTTCTGTATATTTGCCTGTTCATGTAATTTCATAAAAGTAATAACATAAAACATTTGATGTTTTGTGATTGACTTATTTTGCTTAACATACTGTCCTTCAGGTTCATCTTTGTTCCAAGATGTTTTGGGAACTTGTTTTTCTATATTGAAGAATAGTATTCCATTGCATATATATACATCATTACTTATACATTCATCTGTTGCTAGGCACTTATATTGGTTCCATCATTCTTCTATTGTAAATAGTGCTACGATGAATGTGCAGATGTGCAAGCAAGTAAATCCCTAAGGTGTACAGATAAGAGGGGAATTGATAAGTCATATGGCAGCTCTACTTCTATTTTTTCTTCTGTCTTAGAGTAACTGCCAGACTGTTTCTACAACAGCTGTACTGTTTTGCATTCCAACCAGCAATGGATGAGGATTCCAATTTCTCCACATCCCTCCAAAATTTATTATTTTTAATCCTAGCCATCCTAACTTTTTGCTGTGTACCGATTCTGACTCATATCTCAGCCTAATAGGACAGAGTAGAATTTTCCCATAGAACTTCCAAGGTTGTAGGTTGCTATGGGTCGGAACTGACTCAACAGCACTTAACAAAAACAAGTCTTTAGGGACTGCAAGGTTGGTGGGTCAAGCTTACCAGCAACTCCTCGGAAACCCTATAAAGGGTCGGTATGGGTCAGAACTGACTCGATGGCACTTAACAAGAACAACAGTCTTTAGGGAAGCAGGCTGTCATGTTTGTCTCCCACAGAGTAGTTATGGGTTCAACCTGCCTATGACTTTTTTTTTTTTTTTTTTTTATTAGCAATTGTGAGCTTAACCACAGTTCCACCAGGGCTCCAGTCAGCCATTCTCGTGGGAGTGAAATGATATTTCATTGTGGTTTTGATTTGCATTTCTTTGATGGCTAACGATGAACATTTTTCTATGTGTCTTCACCGTTTTAAGTAGCTCTGGTGGCACTTTTAATCTTTATAGGAGCAGACAGCCTTATCATTCTCTCTTGGAGAGGCTGTTGGGTTTGAACCAATGACCTTTCAATTAGCAGTCCAACAGTTAACCCATTGTGCCACCAGGGTTCCTTACTTGTGTCTTCTCCCAAACCAAATCCACTGCCATCAAGCTGACTCATACAAACCCTATGTAGGGTTTCTGAGACTGCCTGCCTTCCGGTGAGCAGCCCAACGCCTAGCTCACAGTGACACCAGGGCCCCCACATGTGCCCGATATGGGGGTTCTGAGGAGCGGTTGGTGAGTTTGAACCACCTACCTTGCAGTTCAAACCTACCTTATGGTCCAGTGTTCATCCTATAGCTCAAGCCAGGACCCCACACGTGCCCTGTTATTGTTAAGTTCCATTGAATCTGTAGGGACTCATAGCAACCCTGTAAATGGGTTTCCAAGGAACAGCTGGTGGGTTTGAACCACTGACTTTGCGGTCAGCAGTCCAGTGCTTATCCTACAGCCCCGCATCAGCACATACACATGACTACCAAACACATGAAAAGAGCCTCAGAATCTTTAGCGATCAGAGAGATGCAAATCAAAACCACAAGGCGATACCATTTCACTCCCACTAGGATGGTGTGATGTCGCGTAGGATAAGCTCTGTACATTTTAGTCCCCCAACTCTTCAGAAATTGAACGGTGCTCTCTGAGCTCCTCTAGGCCGTCCTCTATGAGCTCTTGATGTGAGTGAATCCAAAAGTTAGTCCTTGGTATGCTGCGATCTATGTATTAGGAATGTCTGCCTCCCATATGTGCAGGCAAATAAAGCAACATCATTATGCTGTTTGACAGGACTATTTAGCAGGTGCACATAACTGAACATTCCTGAATCAGGAGGGGGCAGCTCTGGATTTCAATAACCTAACCAGACCACAGTGCGAATGAGGCTGGAAACTCAAGTGCAGCCTCAAGTGAAACGAAACGCCCTAAATAAAGACGATGGCTTTAGCAAACAATATCAATCAACTAGTAATCCAATGTGCAAATCTAGGCACTTTTTCCGGTAATTTCCCCGGTGGGTGAGGGGAGCGCGGGTTTGCAGCCCTGACGCCCTGGAATCCCGACTGGATCAAGAGAGGAAGTCGATTGGGTCAGTATTGGGGACGTCGAGGGCATCTTGCGTTTCTGGCTCTGTTGTAAAACTGCACGTGTACCATCCGAGCTGGCACCGGTGGAGCACCTCGACCCTCTGGTCTCCCCAGGTGTCTGGGCCCGCCGGCCTTCCGCCTCCTCCGCAGGCTCCGGCCCGCAGGCTACCCGGCCCAGGTAAGGCCGCCCGGCGGGCGCGTCCCCGCGTGCCCCTTCCCCCTCCCGGCGACTTCCTGGTTTGCAGAAGGTACAGGAGCCGCTGCGGGCGGCCTCGGTCGCAGGAACTGAGAGGCCCCAGCTTGGCGGCGGCAGCGGCGGGGGCGGCGGCCGGCGGCCGGCGGCGGGGGGGTGGTGGTGGCGGTGCTGCTGCTGCTGCTGTCACAGAAAGGCGCTGGGGGGGTGGGGTGGAGGCGGGGAAGCGCCAGGGGCGCCGCCGATATGGGCCCGCCGCCGCCGCAGTGAGCAGTCTCCGTCCCAGGCGGGGCGGCCAGTGTGGGTGGGGGCAGTGCGACCCTCCGGCTGGGGGGCAGCGGACTTCGAGGCCAGCGTGAGGGGGCGGGGACGGGCTGCCCCACACCGACATGTAACCATGGACTGCAGGACCAAGTGAGTAGGGGGGGGCAGTCCTCAGGGTGGGCGACAGGCTCGTCCGGTGTCCCCGCCGCCTCCCCCGCCTGGTCGACGTTGACCGCTGACGGGGGTCGGTCCGGCCCGGGTGCCCCCGGCTGCACGGCACTAGGCCGCAAAGCCTGGTGGGCCCTGTCTCCCGGGCCGCGGGGTCGGCGCAGCTCCACCGGGAGCGGCCGGCAGCGCGGAGTCGACGCTGCTTCCCTGGGACCGAAGAGGAGGCCGGGCGGCTCCTGACACCGCCCGCTGGGGGTGTCTCCTTCCCCGAGGGTGTCAGACATGCCCTTGTCTGTGTCTTGCTGGTGCCCGGCAGGGTGTCCGCGTTCAGGTTGCGTGGTTATTATTTCAAATGTTCTCTTAGTATTGCATTTCTTTCTTAAGTGTAGTTGTTAGTTTTGTCTGGGATGTTCATTTCTGATTTCTCCTTATCATTAAATTTATTACTGATGATTGTTTATATAGACACCATGCCTATGCCTGGTGCTTGCACAATGGTATCCAATTTGATGGTATTTAATGTATGTATGTGCTAAATTGTAGATCAGTAAATACTACCCTCCATGAGAATTTGAACAGAAATTAGGTCGAGTAATTAGGTAAAAGGCAGTTTGAAAAAAGGTAATAATTTGTTTCCAGGTATTTAGAGACATGAGTTTTATATTGTTCTCCTGAAACTTACTTTGTAAAGAATTCCTTCTTTCTAGTTCTCCTTCCACACCCCAAAGTTTGTAATAGTGGATATCATGTATATTTGTATTAATTTCATTTTATTTTTATAAATCCTATTTTAGTTTTACAACTAAGATACTGATCAATAATAGGAACAATGAGAAAAGTAAATTAGAATTATTTTCTTTAGTGTTTGATATCAGGCAGCAGGGTACGGTAAATGAGTAAAAAAGTGTGCTTTTTGACATTATAAGGTAGGAGCTCACCTAGTCCAGATTGTTCATATTAGCGAGAATGCTGAGGGTATGTATTTTTGAAAATTAATTTATATGGCCTAAGACTATCTATGTTTCTAGATTCATGTTTTGTAGTTAAAAAAAATTATCATTATGTATTGAGATGTCAAGTCTGGCATTAGTTTCTTGAAGGAAGTTTGTATTAAAAACAGTCAATGTACAAAGAATTTGTTAGCAGAAATAACTGAAAAATATTAACACTTTGGTCACGTGGATGTTGTGGTAAAGACTAGGTTTAATCTTTCATCTTCTAGCGGAAAGGGAGATTAAAAAACTATGTTGTAGAAAAAAAAGTGTCTCTAAAGATTACAATTTGCTTTTTGAAATTAACACAATGCATAAGTTAAATGTTTGAGATGGCAGTAAAAAAGTCAGTAACTTCTCATTGAAGCAAAGCAACGTTACTATTGTTAGTGAGAAATCTAATACTTAGCTGTCCAATTTTCCCAAAGATAATTGATATAAAATCATTTTTTTGTCTGCCTTGAAGTCTATGTATAGTTTGCGATTGTAAACATTCTTCTTTACAATAATTAACATCTCCAGAAACGTATAGCCTTCAAGGAACATTTAAAATGTTTTACGGTGGTCTATAAGGTCTGCTCATTGCTCATAATACTTTGGGAACATGACAGGTGGAATCAGGTATCCATCATTCACACTTCACATTGCAGGTACAGTGTTTGAAGAAAGCTTGAGAAACTGCTGTTAAGTTCTGTTGGTAGGGTAAGGTAAAGACACTTACGAACACATTGGTTTTCCAATTTTGTTTCAATAGAATGAAAGCAGTCTTCATAATTTAGAAAGTACTTTTTGATTTATAATCTTCACAGATATTCTGTAAAGAGAACAAGTAATTTTATAGGTGAGAAAAACAGTTCCAAAGGTTACAAGTTTTGCCCCTCTTAAAACTTCCAAGCCTCAGCTCTTTACAAACCTGGGAAAACATTTTTATTGCTATTTCTACTACACTGTGGACTCTTGGTATGGTGCTACAGGATAAGCACTGGACTATGGACCACAAGGTCGGCAGTTCAGACTTGCCAGCTGCTCCTGGGAAACCTCATACAGGGTCACTATGAGTTGGAACTGACTCAACAGCACTTCACATTAACTATATTGTGGCTGTATAGTTTGTGACATGATTGTGACAAGAACAAGATTACCTTTAGAATGAAGGAAATAGAAGGTTAATAGTTGTTCTTAGCTGCTGTAGAGTTGGCTTCTGACTCATAGTAACCCATGCACAGCAGGAACAAAACATTGCCCAGTCTTGTGTCACCCTCGATCAATTTTGGGTATACCATTGTGATCTAATAGGGTTTTCACTGGTTGATCTTCTGAAGTAGATCATCAGGTCTTTCTTTCTAGTTTGTCTTAGTATGGAAACTCCACTGAAACCTTTTCACATCATAGCAATTCACAAGCCTCCTCTTACAGCTTAGTGAGTGGTAGCTTCACATTGGGTGCCCTGGCCAGAAATTAAACCCAGTTCTTCTGTATAGAAGGTGGGAATTCAACCGCTGAACCACATTGCCTTCTATAACCTTTATCATTAATGTCCTTATCATTAAGAAATAAATATCACACTTTGATTTTTCCTTTTAGGGAAAATCCAGAAAGAACCTTTGATTTGGTGTTGAAAGTGAAATGCCATGCTTCTGAAAATGAAGGTATGTGTGTCTAGTTAATTCTTAAAACAATTTATTGAGTCTCTCAAAACAAGTTTATTGTTGTAGACTGCTGGAACATGATAGTTTTAGGACAATAATAGTATTAAATGTGTATTCTGCAACTAGTGTCTCAGGTTGCTGGTGATAAAATAGATAATAATTTCTTTGCCTTGAGTTAATAGAAATCCTGAACGTGATCTGCACTGCTTGAATTTCATCTGTGCTGCTAAAACCAAGTAATTGACAATTCAGCTTTTCTGGTGGTTGATAAGGTGATCTTCAGTTTTGGTGGAAGGACTAGTCTTTTCATTCTCTTTCATTCCTCTTTTGAAAATTTTGATCAGTGTAACATTATTTAGAGGTGTTTCAGCTGTCCGTTCTATATAATTTCCTGAAAAGAATAGAAAACTTTAATACTGTGATTTTTGCTAGTCTTTCCTCCACCTCCATTAGTTATATTGTATAACATATGTATATGTGTATATGTTCTGGTGTGGTGCTGTACGTTAAGTACTGGACTGCTAAATGAAAGGTCAGCAGTTCAAATCCACCAGCCACTCTTTGGAGACCCTATACAGGGTCGCTATGAGTTGGAAGCGATTCGACTGCACTTAACAACAGAATGTGCATATGTGGAGGAGCGGAGTATAAGAAGAATAAGGAATTTCTCTTCTGACTTTTACCTTTTTTAAATGTCTCCTTCTTGTTGTTATGTGCCGTGGAGTTGGTTCCAACTCATAGCGACCCTGTACAGAGTTTCCAAGGCTGTAAATCTTTATGGGAGCAGAATGCCTCATCTTTATCCCGTGGAACAGCTGGTAGTTTCGAACTGTTGACCCTGAAGTTAGCAGCCCGATTCGTAACCACTACACTACCAGAGCTCCTTATGTGGTACATTTTCAAGGACATATGATTTAATTTCACTTTAGGTAGATATTAGATAGCATAATGATTAAGTGTGGGATTTTTGTGGAGTCTAGTTGGCCATTCTTAAGCCTTAGTGGAAAGTCTGCTGACACATTTAGCTCCAGAAATGAACCTGGACAGCAATTACATGTTCTAAAACAATTTGGGGTTACACACCTTAAAATAGAAGAGCCCAATGAAGTTGTGGTGAAAGAGGCATGGCTAATTTTAGGTGAGAAGGCATATGCATTCCTGGCTCCACCAGCCTCACCAGCTGCACTGCTGGCCTGGTCTGTTTGAACTACAGCTGTGGGCAGCTTGCCTTTTGGCAAGGAGTGAGCTTAGGTTGTGTAGGGCAGCTTCTTCCGATTTAAAAGGCTAACATTTGTCTTCCATAGGTAGTATGTTGCTATTGTTGTTAAGTGCCGTAGAGTCAATTCCAACTGATAGTGACCCTATACAGGGTTTCCTAGGAGCAACCAGGGTTTGAAAGTCCAGCTTTGTGGTTCGCTGTACATTGCTGATTCTACATCTCCACACCAGGAGTCCATATGTAGTATGTTGTTAAGAGCTGTCAAGTTGGTTCCAACTCACAGTGACTCTCTATAGGGTTTCCAATGAGTGTCTGGTGAGTTTGAACTGCTGACCTTTTGGTTCAGATGACCTTGCAGTCCAGTGACATATCTAATGGTGGTGGCTATATGCTCTGGAGTTACTTCTGATTCATAGCAACCCTGCATAGGGTTTTTGAGGCTGTAAATCTTTATGGGAGCAGAAAGTCTCATCTTTCTTCTGTGGAACAGCTGGTAGTTTCGAACTGCTGTCTTTGAGGTTAGCAGCCCAACTCAAAATCACTGCATTGCCAGAGCTCCTTGCATTATCTTATAGGGTTGCTATATGTCAGAACGGACTCGATGGCAGTGGGGTATTTTTGGCTTATGTAGTAACGTTTGTCCATTTGCATCCTTTCTAGGCCTAGCCAACTATTCTTTGCAGACTCAAATGGGTGCATTATTTTTTCAGATCCAGTTTAAACCTGTCACTGTAGGATAAGCACTGAAATGCTAACCTCAAGGTTGATAGTTCAAACCCACTAGCCACTCCTCAAAATCCTATATGAGATCACTATGAGTCAGAACTGCCTTCAAGGTACTTAACAACAGCAACATCAAAGTATTAGCTAAACTGCCCTAAGTTATTTTGACCCTGTGGTATGTTGTTGTTGTTGTTAAGTGCCATCAAGTCAGTTCTGACCCATAGTGACCTTGTATAGGGTTTTCAGGGAGCAGCTGGTGAGCTGAAACTGCCGATCTTGTGATTCAAACTGACCTTGCATTCTAGCGCATTAACCCACACCGCCACACTAGGACTGCATGGAGTATACATGGAGAAGCTGACTAAATGCTTCTGCGCAATATACATTCTCTTTAATGTTAAATGCGTACTAACAGTGTTCATGATAAAAGGACTTATCTGCTTTTTGTAACACCTGACCTGTGAGTAGTGAGAGATTATGACCTTTGCCTAAAGACTTTAGAGGATTTTACTCACTCTTAACCTCTCTCTTTGCCCTTTCCCATTTTTTTAGGAACTAGTTATTCCAGTTTGTACCTTCTGCTTTACCCTTGTTTTATTACCTTCCTGCCTTTTTTGCTGCTGTTGTTATTAGAAACATTTTCACTTGTATTTAACAGTTTGTTCAGTCTGTTGGTGTTGGAAATGTAAAAAGTGGTTAAAATAAACAGTTTTAGTCACTCTATAAGGAGCTCTGGTGTCACTGTGGGTTAAGTGTTGGGTGGCTAACTGCAAGGTTGACTGTTCAAACCTACCAGTAGCTCCACATGAGAAAAATGATGCTGTCTGCTCCTGTAAAAATTTACAACCTCAGAAACCCTAAAGAGTGAGCCTAGGCTGTGTGGGGCAGCTTCTTCTGATTTAAAATGTCACCTAGTGATTACAAATCGGGCTACGAACCACAACATCAGCAGTTCGAAACTACTAGCTGTTCCACAGGAGAAAGATGAGACATTCAGCTCCCGTAAAGATTTACAGCCTCGGAAACCCTGTACAGGGTCGCTGTGAGTCAGCACCGACCCCACGGCACACAGCCACCAGCCACCACAGGGAGGCTAAGGAGCTCAGGTAGCATAGTGGTTACGAAACGGGCTGCTAAATTCAAGGTTGGCAGTTAGAAACTACCAGCTGTTTCGCCGGAAAAAGATGAGGCTTACTGCTCCTGTAAAGATTTACAGCCTCGGAAACCCTGTGCAGGGTCACTATGAATCGGAACCGACTCCACGGCACATAACAACAACATCAACAACATAGGGAGGCTATTAAATTGGAATTGACTCGATGACAGTGGATATATAGGTTGCAACTTAGCCCGCTTTAGCATTAATACAGACCATTGGTGCAGATTTTAGAGATTTTTTTTTTTTTAAAGCTGTATTTATGTAAAAAGTATTAGCAACCTTTCTTCTTTTGATTATGCCATAAATAGTAAGAATACAATGAATATTTTAGAATCTGACAAGTTATTTTTTTGCCCTTTAAAATAAGAGTAAAGATTTTGATCTTTATGAATGGTTTATTAATTTTCTGCTTTTCTGTTAAATGCCATAGGGAAAAAATGTCCACAGATTAAAGAATTTATTGGAATATTCCTGTTTAACGGTGAATAATCTATTGTGGTTTAATAAACGTATGAGTGTTTTAATAAGAGTATGATATGTGTATCTGTTTAAAGTAGGCTGAAATCTTGTTCTGCTAACATTTAAATGAGTATATTTGAAGCTGTTCAGTAGTAATAGACCTGGAACACAAAATGTGTAAGTTAGGATGCCTTTGGGAATACATATAAAACTTGTTTAAATAATAATGAAACTTGATCGCTCATATAACAACAGCAGGTCCTGAGGCAAGTCATCCCGGATCCATGTTCTTTCTGTCTCTTAGCGCTGTCAACGGTATCAACAAGAGTTCACCTGAAGGCTTAGATACCTTGTGGTTATAGCATAGCTGTCAGTACAGTTGGAACGCTGGTATTTTTTAATGGTAATGGGCGTGGTAGACACTGCCTTCTCATGGCTCTACCTGTAGAGCCAGAAAGTTTTTTTTTGTGGTGTTCCTGCAGAGCATGCCTCCTTGGTTCCCAGTGGCACAAGTTAACATGGGCATGGCCATTGGTAAGGGTGTAAATGGAGGGGTTATTATGTTGTTGTTAAGTGCTGCTGAGTCAGTTGTAACTCATAGCAACCCTTATAAGGTTTCTGAGGAACGGTTGGTGCGTTTGAACTGCTGACCTTGTAGTTTAAAAGTTATCCAGTACTTGTCCTAAAGTGCCACACCAGAACTCCATGAGTATCATGATTTACATACTAAACTATTGGCAAAGAATAGGTGGAAAATCAATTTTAAATGTTCTTTGTAAAAGATTTATCAAAAATAAATACTGATTTATTTTTTGATGACTGACTAAGTAAAAAGTCTGATGCTCAGGGTAAATTTGGAGATTGGTAATATGTTAAGATAATTGACATATTTTTCATTTACTTTTTATTAGAAAATAGTAAAATTCTTCCATGTATTCTGGAGAATTTAGGTTATCAGTATCTTCAGAGACAAATTATTAACTAAGTTACAGTTAAAGGGTTTGAGATGACATCTGTCAGTTGTAGAAATGGCATGTAACTTGATATGGCTACCTGTGGGTTAATGCCCTGGACTGCACAGTCGGTTTAAACTGCAAGGTCAGTGGTTCAAGCTCACTAGCTGCTTCTCAGAAACCTTATACAGGGTTGCTATGGGTCGGAACCAACTCAATGGCACTTAGCAATAACAACAGGTAGCTCTTCATCTTATCTATTGCTATTTGGACTTTCATCAAAGCAATCACTTTGATTTCTGAAAAAGATGCATTTTAGAACACTCTGATAAATATAGCTTTCATATAGATGGCTCCACAAATTAAAAAATTGCCTTGCGAGAGATTGGCATTATTTTTCTGCAGTATCCTCTTTGTGTTCAGTTGGTATCCATTATACTGGTTGAACATCTTTTATTAGAAGTCCTCTGGTCAGAAAAGTCTCACC